TCTATGTGTATATGTCTGTGTGTGTCTCTATGTGTATATGTCTGTGTATGTCTCTGTCTGTGCGCTTCTATCTTTCTCATGCTTGCCCATTGGGTTGGCTGGCCTCTGGCTCTCTGGGACTACTGTTGAAATTTTTTCTGGCAAAGAGCCCACATCCCAGGCTTGGTTGGACACTCTCCTTTGGGGCCAGGGCCTCCTGTCAGCCTTGCCTCTCTCCTTAGAACTTCAACTCTTCTGCCCCGGTTGACCAATGACAGTTCAGTGCCTGGAGTCAGACAGACCTGTTCCCATCCAGCTCCACCACTTGGCAGGATCTTGAGCAAGTCTCTTAATCTTTTGAGCCTCTGTTTCCTCAGCTTACAAATTGTAGCCAATCCCAACCTCAAAAGGTCCTTGTGAGGAATTAGTGAAGTAACATAACAAGAGCAGCACCTCATCCTGAACGTGGCAGTCCCAAGTTCACATCAGCTTCGAGAGTGAAGGGGTGAAGCAGCTCGGGAGGTTTTCTTTGGCGGCACGCCCAGTTGAAGCTTTGTTCCCTATTGTTTTCCTCGTTATCTATATTGCTTCTATTAAATAATGACCTAGAACCTACTTGTGTTGTAATGAACACGTATACCGGCCAAGGGGATTAACACTATTAGTAATCAGACGGATGGCGATAGTAATAGCGATCGCTTGCTGCTGTAGCCCTTCCAGAACTACAAAATGCCTCGGAGAGCAGCAGCGATCGTGCCAGACTGACCTATGATTCTTTCTGATTTATAGTTCCCAGTATTCATCCTGTAAGCCACTGTATTAATCTTGCCATGGGTGCTGCAGGGCTGTTCACAGCCAGTAAATAGAACGAAGCCAATCTGTGTGTGCAGCCTACAGCCCAAGAGAGCCAGAGCCGGGGCCCAGGGAACAGGTCACGGGGAGGCACAGAGAGGGATGCTCCCAGCCAGGGAAGTTCTACACCAATGTGCAGATTAAGGTGACACAGGGATCAGGTAGATGGCTCAGCAGATAAAGCACTTGCAGAGCAAGCCTGGTGACCTGAGTTACATCCCTGAAACCACTTAAAAGGGAAAGGAGAGAAGAGATTCCACAAAGCTGTACTCTGATTGCCACACGAATGAGTACAAACACCTATGTACACATACACACATTAATCAATTTTTAAAGATGGGGGGGGGCTGGAGAGATGGCTCAGTGGTTAAGAGCACCGACTGCTCTTCCAGAGGTCTTGAGTTCAATTCCTAGCAACCACATGGTGGCTCACAACCATCTGTCATGGGATCTGATGCCCTTTTCTGCGGTGTCTGAAGACAGTTACAGTGTACTCATATACATAAAGCAAACAAATAAAATTAAAAAAATTTTTTTCAAGAATTTTTTTTTAAAGTAACACACATGGGATTAGGGTTAAGTGATAAAGACAGTTGACAGTGTTGGCAGAGGAGCTGAAAGCTACTCTTCTCCAGAGCTCCACTGTCAGCCTGAGGTCTCAGGCAGGAAAGGAAGAAGTTGCAGGAGACCCTTGGCAAGACTTCCTAGCGCTAAGGCTTTCCACACCAGAACTGGCAAGCTTCTGGAGGACTCACGAGCAACTCGCAAACATGGCACATATCGGGAGGAGGCTACTGCATAAAGAATGGGAGGGTCACCCTCACCCTGTACCACTCTGGCTTTGTGTTTGGGTTTGGGGTCATTTGATTTTTTTGTGTTTGGGTTGTCTTTTGTTTTGTTTATTGAGGTAGGTCTCATATAGCCCAGGCTGGCCTCAAATTTACTATGTAGCTGAGGTTGGCCTTGCACTCTTGTTCCTTCTGCCTCTGCCTTCCAAGTGCTGGGATCAGTCATACCCTACAATGGTTTTGGCTGCTCTCTCTCTCTCTCTCTCTCTCTCTCTCTCTCTCTCTCTCTCTCCTCTGTCTGTCTCTGTCTCTGTCTCTCTCTCTTCTCATGACCCTACATGTGCCTAGTTCCAGGGCATGTACATGACATTAACCCTACATGTCCAAGGCTCTGGGTCCCCTTTCCTCATCCTCCTCCTCCTCCTCCTCCTCTTCCTCTTCCTCCTCCTCCTCCTTCTCCTCCTCCTCACCCTTCTTCTCCACTTTAAAAAATCAAGGTCTCACTGTGTAACTCAGGACCTGGAACTCTGTGTAGCCCGAGCTGGCCTTGACCTGTGAAGATCTGCCTGCCTATGTCTCCTGCGTGCAGAACACTCTAAGATTGCATACCATACCCAATTAGAATCTTAGGAGCCTTGATCTTAGGTCTTGCTTAACAGTCTTTAACTTGGAGAATGACCGGGGGGGCTCCATGACTCTGCTGGGGCTCAGAGTGGCCTCAAAGACCTACTATGCTCCAGAGGTTCCTGATACTCAATCCATCATCCAGGGATGCAGGGGCACAACACCTCATGACATGTCAGACATGTACTATCACAGATCCCACCAGCCCGTGTGATCAGTGTCCACATTTTGAAGGGACTTTAGATGATTCTCATGCTCATTAAAGTCAAGAAGCACTGCCACAGATGACATGTTTGATAGTCATGGGAAACTCAGAAAGGAAGATTTTAGGGGTGACTGCAGCTATGCTGAAGGGCCCTTGTTAAATCAGTCCCTCCCTCCCTCCCTCCCTCC